GCAAATGTAATAATGATTATCTCCAACATATCATATGACTGTTAGTAAGAAAAAATGGTTTCTTTACATTTCTTTAAAAAATCTCTATAGTTACTATTTGAAGATTTTATATATAATTTATATATAAATCTTGTATAACTTGCATCACACAGCTCTCCAGATAACTGGTGAATCATCTATTAATAGATTAAAAAAATAATGAACAAACAAGTTTCTGATTTTGTTGTATAAGACAAATATAATTATATAAACTATCTACTAAAAGAAATATAATATGGTTGATTCTTTGACTTGTAACATATGATATATTCTAAACTTCTTTGATTGTATTGCTTTTTAAATATTTTAAGAGATATTTTGCATATATAACTGCTGAATTATATTCATTATTAAAATTATTACCTGCTGAAGGCTCCTAAACTTTAAATGATTCAGCTTCAATAATAGTATAACTAGTGATATAATAAATATTTTCTTTTATTTGTTTAATTAAGAATTGAGAAACATTTAGTTTTAAGTATTTTTTAATCAATGATTTGATAGTTGAAAAAATAGTAGAAACACATATTATATTAGGAATGTTGCTTTTCTATTCTTCAATAAGCTTATACTTTTGTTTTTCTTTACTGTGTTCTATTAATATCTAACCAATATCACAAAGTGATATATTACTGTTACTTATAAATGCTTAATGCATGAATTTTGACTTTTAATGAAGGATGTTGACTAAATACCAAGTGTAAATGCTAAAGTGCTAAAAGTGTGTGCTTATGAAAATCACCTTTTATATAACTAATATTCTAAAAAATGCTTTGTTTTAGAGTACTTTATTATGAGTTCATTCTAGTAGTGTTCAAAAATGTCTAGTATATCAGCATTATAGCACCACCAAAATGCTAAATAAAATTCATTAAATTGGTCATCTAATTTGTCGCGAAGCATTTTTAATATTTTTCTTAATATGCCAAATACATATAAGGTACTGTATTTCTGGATACTCTGTAATTATTGCTCTTTCTATAGCAGAATTACTATCCATTATAATTATATTTGGCATTTTATTATATATTGCTTTTTTTGTTATATAGAAAATTCATTCATATGTTTCAGTTATTTTATCACTTAAAAAAACTTGAGCAACAATACACGATTGCATATTGTTATCTTGGGCTACAAATAGGAAAAAGCATATAATACCTATTTGTCCTAGCAGTATTATCATACCCAATTAATTTACAAAAATTATATCATAGTAAAACTTGTTCTGGACTTATCCAGAATAAACCAGTTAATGAATTGGTTTCTTTTTCCCATATGGTCTCAACAAACCAACACGGGTCTTCATATTTTCTCGAAATTAGTTGTTTATAGAAGTATGCAGTATCTTCTCTTATTGTATCAGCAGTTGGTCAGTATTTTTGAACTTCTGTATAAAGGTTTTTAGAAAACAGAGAGTGCAGTGAGAATTTCTTCTTCACAATACGTTACACTATAGTTATGCCAAAATGATATTTAGTTACGAGAAATTCAATTTCTTGACATATTTCTGCTGTGAATTGTCTATTTTTTTTAAACTATATAGCTTTAGGTAACAATATATGATTATGTTTGTGTTAAATGTGTTACAACAACATTAAGTTAATTTTTTAGGCGAGAAAGGTCTAAATGCTATTTGCACATTTGTTGAACTGAAGTGCCAGAATTTGCTAGAATTTTGGTTTATATACTTCCAAATATTTATAATCAATTATTCATTTGCGAATAATTTTTTTATTGTTAGCTCTACTAAAAGTTGTTATACATTCAAGGTGTATTTCAAAACCCTTATATTCAGCATATTTGCGTACATATCTTTCAGCTTCATCAAATTAGCAAATGAATCATTTTTTTTAGTAACACTAGTTCAAAAACATCTGATGTTTCTTCAATTTCTATACTTTGATCTTCTTAATAAAACAAAACTTCCCAAAGTTAAATAAAAGTCAATAAAACAAGCTAAACAATTACTGTAGCTGATTACAATGAAATCAGATTAAAATAAAATTTTGTATAATACAAAATAGGCAAGCTTCTAAAAAATACAAAATTTTGAGATACATTTTAACAGAATCTCAAATTTTATTTTAATCTGATTTCATTATGATCTGCAATAATTATTTTGTATATGTTATGCTCCAACTTATTAAAATCAATAGACAAATCTTCTTTTTCTTCTCTTTGTAACAAGATTGGTTCTAATTTATCAAACATCTTCTCAAATTTCACTGTTATATGTTGATTAGGAATATGTTGCTTGAAAAAAGTAAGTTTAAAATTATATGATTATTTAAAATCTCAAAGTTATATATAAAATTTTCAAAACCACATACAGATATTCATCAAAGTCAATACTCTGATCTTTTCTTTGTAATGATATTTGTTCAAAATAATTAGCCTCCACCTCAAATTCTATTATTATTTGTTTATTAGAAACAAATTGCTTAGAAAAAGTAAGTGTAAAATCATGTAATTACTTAAAATCTCAAAGCTATATATGATAAACTATAAATTTTCAAAACCACATACAGATAACTCATCAGGGTCAAGATTCCTATCTTTTTGTAATGATGTTTGTTCAAAATAATCAATTGCATTCTCAAATCTCATCATTATATATTGATTAGAAACAACCTGCTTGAAAAAAGTAAGTATGAAATTATGTGTTATTTAAATACCCAAAACTATATACAATAAAATATAAATTTTCTAAACCACATACTAGTAACATATCAAAACCAAGATTTTGATTTTTTTATAATAATGTTTGTTTTAAATAATTAGCTGTCTTCTCAATTTCCATTATTATATGTTGGTTAAAAATATGTTGCTTGTAAAAAGTAGTATAGTAAATGTGAAATTATGTATTATTTAAACAACCAAAACTATATATGATAAAATATAAATTTCTTAAACCACATACAGGTAAGGGTAGTATCATTTATCATCTAAATTTTTTTTATCAGAGGCTTACTTCCCTTCCTTCTCTTACTATATATTTTGATCAGGTTTTATATATAATTTTAAATTTTTTACCTCTCTTCCTTCCTAAAAAATTATCTAATTTTTGTCATGTCCCTAATATATCAAAGCCAAGATTTTGATCTCTTTGTAATGATGTTTGTTCCAAATAATTAGCTGTCTCCTCAATTTCTATCATTATGTGTTGGTTAAAAATATATTGCTTGTAAAAAGTCAAAATTATGTTGTTATTTAAAATCCAAATTATATTTAATAAACATAATATTCCAAAGCCATATACTGTTTGATAAGTATCCACATTCATTATATTCATTTATAGATTCTTAATTTGATTTATTTTTTTTGGCTTTCATTTGCTAACCAGTAAATAAAAAAATTATTTTATTATTTTTTTTCTATTTATATGAATTTTAATTACATCAGCATTGTCACTTATTTTTTACTCTGACGCATATGATTGATCGTATATAGCATAATAATATATATTGTATTATATGATACAAGACAAATACGTAGCTATGCATAGTATGCAAATATAATAATCTCTTTTTTTATTATATTCCCTTATATCTTTATATATTTTTATTATTTTTTTCTTTTACTTTTTTACAAGAAGATATTATCAGATTAATAATATTTTATTGTAAAGTAGTAATTAGACAAGCCTAATATCTTAATTGATTATATCTTTCTGTATAGCTAGTTATATATAAGTACTTTGATAATAAAGATTTATTTTATAAATATTAACTTTAGTTTTTTTTTTTTTTTTTTAAAGAGTGAGACCTGATCTCAGTTTTTTTATTGATAACATTTTGTATTATTACAATTTAATATCAAG